TTTTGCGCAACCAATGTTTTACCATTCAGCTATGAGGCTAACAGTGAGTAAGCAATACATTTAATCACACTTGGATCGATTTTACCCGTCCAAATTACCATTTGTATTGAGTCCACCATTATGGAACATCAAGCTGGGCGGGTAAAATTGACCCAAGTGTGACTGAATTCACGGCTCACGGTGAGCCTCATAGCTCAATGGAAGAGCTTGGTTGCTCAAAAGCCTTCCCTGTTGAGTGGGTTCGACTATCATCGAGGCCGGGAGGTGTTTATCACAATGGGGTCAACTGAATAAAGCAAATCTTTTGACTCCCCTAGCAATGAAAGTCATGAGGGCAAAGACAAGGGAGACTGCAGTGGCCCACTTTGGTCAGCTAGTCATACACAGACCCAAGTGGCGTCCCAACTGAGCCCCGAATTTGCGACCTTTTCTATCATAGTCAAACACCCTAATTATGGAGCCAGAAGTTCATTGTCTTGCCGGTTTAGGTAAGGGAGTATTGGCACTGGTTGGTGAGTGTTCACCTGACCGCTAACGGAACTAATCTGTCCCGCTCTCCTAGCAGCTGCGACGGCTGTCAGGGCCGCTGTCGAGGCCCAAGGCGGAGCGAGACACGTGACTTCCGTTAGCAGTCAGGTGTACCTTCATCGATGAGGGTCAGCAATGAATTGACGATTGCCTTCATCCGAACCAACCTGCTTGCCTGCTGAACTACAGCCTCGTCGAAGGATATTCAGAGCAGATGGATAAAGGAAAATGCATTTGGAAAACCAAGTCCGTAGAACCAACCTTCTGGCGATCGCTCGGATGTTTCTAGAATGTATCGGAAGATGTCAAACTGTTATAGAGTTGGGACCTCAAAAGGGCTACTTTGCGCCAGTTTTTTTAGGTGGAACGGTCTACTCACACCGTGTGACGCCTCAGATGTCGTTTACCTTATCTAAGACAAATGGTAAAGCTTTCTAGTGAGGCTGCCTGAAAATAAATGCCCTCTCCCGCCCAAATGTCCTACGGAATTTGTGACAAAGCGCGGTCAATGCGCGGTAAAGGCACAGTGAATTAAAACCGATTTTAATTGTTTTACTTAAATAAAATCGTAGGTGAAAAGGAAGCCTACAGGCAACAGAACACTATTCCAGCAATCTCATTGGTCAATAGAAGAAACATTTAAGCCAAGAAAGCTATTAGAGCAGCCAATTTGACCATTAGACGGCCTATTGTTTTAGTGAAGAGGACTTTTCCCATTAGGTGGCCTCATAAAAGAATCCTACCATACAACTTTTTTAGAGCAAAGATAGCGTGTGCCAATATAGGTGAAAGTGTTCAGGAAAGCAACCAATACTATGCAAGCCCTGAACTACAACAGCTACCACCCTATCAGTCACAAACGCAGCTGCGTAAGAGCGCTATTCCGGCACGTCGAGACGCATTGCAACGAAGTGGAAGACAAGGTTGCGGAATTACAACATCTTCGACGGGTACTAAGAGTGAATGGATACCCGCGCAACTTTGTCAACCAATGTATACGCAAACGAGAGAAGAAGCCACATCCAACTGGCCCAAAAGTTTAACGAGCTCTTCCGTACGTGAAGAATGTATCGGAAGCAGTCAGCCGCCTGCTCACCCTACTTGGAGTTGGAGTTGCGCACAGGCCGGAAGCAACTATCAGGCGCCGGGTCATGAAACCGAAAGACTGGAGTCGTTTACCGGCTCTAGTGCAGTTTTGGACAATGAAACCACCTCGGAAAAACCGGGAGATTACTCCGGACGCGAATGGCCGAGGAAGAAAGACGTAAACTCCCAGGTTGCAGCTCACCCGACGTGACCCGCCCATATTTTCAAGTTTGACGAGGCCGAAATCCTCGCAAGAGGTGACAACCGC